GTCATTGCAGCGACATTCAGCAGACCCCTCCCACATCCTGCCATGTCACTGGAAACTTCTGGGTGGCAGCACAAGGGCTGCTCGACTGACTCTGAATCCCTGCTAGTGGCGTCGCTGCTGACCCCGACACCCCCGCAGGTACCTCAGTGAGCCACAGTCGCTGCCCCCTGCGGGGGAAGGCACCATGTCCCTCTCCATTAGTACTTTGCCTTGCCAGCCTCAAAGCGTTTCCTAAACCTGCAACACCTGGGAAGAGAACCCTGAGCTTCTGACCCAAGTCAGCATCAGCTGTGCCCTGAGGCCACAACAATCTGCTCTGACCCCAGATTCTGGCAGAGGCTCCTCTCCTTCCCCAAGATGCTGCTGCTCTCCTGTAGCAGCCTCTGCTGCTTCAGGCCCTCGGGGCTTTCAGCACAACTGGGGAATCCCCAGGGCAGGTCAAAGTCCTTCCTCCTTCTCTGCTTCACAAGTAAGCCAGACTGATGGTGTTCAGAAGCTCAAGTGGGCACAAAACTAGAGGCACGTTGCTGGGCATGACGGGCTTCATCTCAAACCCACCTTCTGGTTGAAGGGCCACCGCAGGAGAGCATCGTTGGGTCCCTTCATCACCACAAAGAACAGGGACAGGTGGGTCCCGCGCCCGGTGCCATCACCATTCAGGTAAACACGCAGACACATCTTGTAGCCGTACTTGCTTGTGTAGAAAGCTATCAAAGAGTAGCAAAACAGACACAGTGACTGTCAAACCCAGCAAAGCCTGGAGCCAGCAGGTTCCTTTGAACCCTGAGGACTCCAAAATTTGGATCCTGGAAAAAAACAGCTCTGGGTCTTAAAATACACATTTCAAAGAAGTGGCCCAGGAAGCTCCCAGATACAACCAAAACCAGATACCATCTTTGACTAGCCTGGAGACAGGTCAGGGGAGTTAAAAACCCCTGGTCTAGCTGAGACACAGAGCGCTGTGGCACTGAGCTGGGCACTGGCCCCTCGGGTCTCCCCATCTGCCATCACAGGCAGGAGGCCCCTGGGCAGAGTCTGATGCTGGAGCTCTGCCCCAGAGCTAAGTATCTCTCTCTGCAGCCCCCACAGAGCCACCAGTCCTGCTACACACAACTGCTAAAGGAGCTTCAGTGCATGGCAGTTAACAGTGAGAGCAGGAACAAATGGAGGCGGTGAGGAGCTCCTAGGCTGGGGCACAGAGATGCCCACAGCCAGAGGACAAGTCATCTCCTTCCAAATCACAACCTCTGGAGATGTTCAGGTCCAACAGCTCTTGAGCATGGTGCAGGACATGGACAGGAGGCAAGAATTAAGGGAGTCTCGCTAAGTCAAACCAAACAGAATTGAAGTAGATTTGTTTGCTTTGGGACAAGGAAGGAAGTGCTGCCCTTCCCTGAGGGGATAAGAGCAGGGGTTTTCCACAGCTGCTGCTGACTTTGAGAAGGAAATGCTCATTGCATGCACAGTTTCAATAGCAGCTTAGTTCCCCTCAGGAAAAGGAATCCTTTTATCTTTCAGTTTTTCCAGAGAAAAAGGACTCTGAACATCCTTCATCCAGAAAAGGATTCTAAAATAGCTTTTAAAATCCAATTGTGGCCCAGCCACAATTTGCTTTTCCACGGCATCAGGAAGCAGACCTCAGGCATGAGTTCTATGTTTGCATGCAGCTCTGGGCATCTTGGAAAGGCTCTGCAGTATGCGTGGATCTAAGCAGTTCCTGCTCAGGCGAACACAAACTCCCCTCCTCAAACATTCTGTGGTGAGCTGAGCTCCCCACTGAGCAATGACACTGTATGAATTGATGGTTTCACCTCTCAGCTGCAAGCCTGGGCAGTGCTTTTATAAACAAACAAGCCAGATCACAACCTACTGCTCTGAGATCATCTTTTTTAAGAAGAGAAGAAAGTCTGGGCTGGAGCAGTTCTGCAAGGAGAGTCCCTTCCTCTAACAGATAGTCAAGCACTTCCCTAGATGGGCTTTATGACAGTGGGCACTGTCATGTGTTGGGTACTAAAATATATTTATGGAGCTCTAATATGCATTTCCTCACTTCCCATTTTATTGCTGGTTTTATGGTCTCTGAGTATTTTAATTATAACTAAAGGATTATGTGGGGCTATACTGGAGCTCCATTATGGGAAATTAAAAGGTCTCCTGCAATCAAAACAGCACCTCTTTCAGCAGAGCAGCTTCATTTAGCCCAGTGCAAAAATAAAAGTTCCAGGCTCTACAGGGAAAAAGAAGACAGAATACACTGCGCATGGCCAGCACCTTGCCTGCTAAGGGCTCTGCTACAAATCCCACACCCTGCTGAGATGCAAAAGGCTTTTGCAATTTTACAAATTTGTGGGCAATAACCTGGAGAGAAGATGGCAGGAGAGCGGCCTGTTATCGCCTCCTGACGCTTCCGGGCAAACTCTGTGATCTTCCAGATGAAAACACCATCGTAGGTGGAAGCCTCCATGTTGCGGATCTTTTCCTCCATCTCAGCCATGGCCAGATCTTTGAGCCCAATGCTCCTTTCCAGCTGCCGAACCTGCTCAGTGGGACACACGGTGCAGCCTGGTTAGAAACACGTACTGTGAGACCCAAGAAAGCCAGCAGACACCAGCATTCCCTTCAGGATGACTCTGCAGTGACAGACATTCTCCAGAAGTGACAAGGATCACGGGAGGGAGAAATTTAGCAGCATAAACCAATGCACTGAGGCTTCCTTTGAATCCTGTCATCCTGGAGAAGATCCATCCAACTCAGTACTTGAGCTGGACACCTTCCCACAGCAAATGGGAAAATCCTCCCAACAAGCAGCACAATGTTAGCAGCACAAGAAGTGAGGTGGGAGGGGGGACAAAAAAAACCCCTCAGCATTGTGACAAAACTAGACTGAGAGAGAAAAGAACCTGCACCCAGCCAGAAAGGTCTCCCCAGGGTTAACCAACCACAACTTGATTACTAACAGAGATCTGAACACTTAATGCATGTCAGTTAAATTCCCATATTTTCCAGGAAGCTTTTGAGTGTTGGACACAGGCACAAATGATATTTTAGTTTTGGATCTGTAGAGATCTGGGACCAGGTGGGAAGGCTTTGCCACCTAATCTCAGGGAAAGGAAATGGAGAAAGTCTCAGGTCAGGGTGCTGCAGAGCGCAAGCCACTGGCTGGCTACACACCTTGTTACTCAGTGTTTCGATCTTCTCCTGGTCCAGCCGGTGTTGCTGACTGTAGGCTTCAGCTGTCAGAGACACACTTTCCACCTCCCGATTGAGCACACAGAGACTGTTCTCAAAGGTCACTGTTTTCCTCTCAAGGGCTTCACATCTTCCCAAGAGCTCCAGGGACCTGGAGAGGTCTGACTCAGAGCACAGAGGGGTTGCTGCCAGTAGTGGGGAGCTGTTTTGCGATGAGGAGAGGGCAGGAAGGGGCTTTAGGTCTCCAGACCCAGTCTTGAGGCTGAGCACAAAGCTCAGTAGCATGTAGAGATGCTCTGCCAAACACTTGCTTTCGTGTTCTGGTAGCTTTTCATTTTCCACCTGCATGAAGAAAAACACATCCCTTGTTGAGCAGTCTCAGTCTGCCACGATCCACAGAACAAATTCCTCCTCCTGAGGTCACAACATGAGCTTTAAATGATGAAGGGGAAAAACCGAAGGAAAATAGTTTAAAAAACTATTTTGGGGGTGGCTTTTTTTCTTTTTTAGCAATGCTGCAATCACACATGATGATGGATGCTTGACACTTCCCCAGCTGTACACACTGTCCCACTCTGTCTTCCTCTGTTACCTCCCCAAAAGGGCTCTGTCAGAGGCACTTAGCAGCACCAAAGGAAAAAGCCTCAGGTAATTCCCCCAAGGAGGGATTTATATGAACACCACCAGAAGTAGCTGGGAAAGCTAAGTCACAGGGAGAAATATGGCTTGGCCCAAGCTCTAGCAGGAGAGCAAGGGCACCAGAAGCCCAGTTCTGTGCTTACAGCTGAAAGCAGCATAACCACAAGAGCCTCAGAGCACTCAGGGTGCTATTCAAGGAGGAGGTTTCCTTCCACATTATGTTAATTCTCTGAATATCCAAACTCTGGACAGGAGATGACATTAAGCTCCATTTGCCAAGGGTTTGAACCACCACTTTGTTGAGGTATCTGAACATCTATAGCAGTTTGGGCAACAGTAGTTTGTGGGTTAACTCTGGAACTGAAAACAAGTCCCCAGATGAAATGAACATCAACAGACAAGCCCTTACCACTGCAGCACATCCAACAACCTCAAATCTGCAAGGCACTTTAGATCTTCCACAAGACTTCACGTGGTCCCGAAACTAGAAAGGAAGGAAAGCAATGTTAGATCTTATGTGCCCCCAGTAGCTTCCTTTCCATCTTGCTGATGTCTAGGAAACTGAAGACAATCCCAAGAATGCCCAAGTCACTGCTGATCACCAGCTGCCCAAGTGTGTGGTGAAACCTGGGCACTGCCTACCACTAGGAATGACTTTCACTGCAATGTAAATGAGGCACCAGCACTTGGAAGGAAGTTTTGTTTCTCTCTCATGGCTAGGAGGTCTCACTTCTCACCTGCATGTGCAAGACAATAAAAAGCTACCAGCACAGGTGTTATGGATGCTGAGCAAGAAGGGCTCAGGAAGGGGAGCCATGAGGAGCAACCCTATGAAAAAAACAGCCATTTAATTTTGTGCACTTCATGTAACCCTGGTCAGGTCGTGCAACTGCTTGGTATTTCTACTTCCAGCTAAGCATTATAAATCTGAGAACAAAAAGCATCTTAGTGGTCCTGCCTGAGCACTGACAGGAATTGTTGAAGGTCCTGTGTAGAGGAAGATGCTCTCCTGGGTCCAGCAATCCCTTGCTGGGCTTGGCCACCTCCTGTCTGGCAGCTGCCCTGAAGAACCAAGGCCAACAGTGGGTATTTCTGCAGAGAAGTGCCACTAACCCTCCAGCCGCCAAGATGACTCGTTTGGGTTCCCAGGCAGTCCGTGATAATGCTAATGAGCCCTAGCACACCATCATCTTGCTTTTGATGTACCTCTCATTATCAGGTATCAGTGGTCTGTCCTGAACAACCACCATATTCCACATTTAACACCTACAGCTGCTGCAACAGATGTCAATTAAAACTGGTTTTAAACCACTTTAACAGCTTCTAGATCCATCTGGCTTGCATAACAGGTCAGGTCACTCAGAGTGGCAATGGCTGCAGCCACAAATGGTTGGAAAGAGATAAGAGGGAGTTAATATTTAAACAAAGGATAGCCCAGCTATGGGAATCCTACAAGCCTGATCTCTGCTAGGCTCCAGCATCAGAGCAGACCTGTGTTCCAAGACCCCAGCAAGAAGTCCTTTATTGTGCTGCCCATTTTGAAGAACTCTTTGCTCATCATTTTGATGCTTCTTTCCCCCTGCCCCTTGTAACAGTGCTACTGTAAGTATGATACCCATAGTGGGCAGAAAGGTTCCAGATCAATTTTTTTTAAGATGATTCCCAAAACTTTGATTTTCAGACTTCTGAGCCTTCCCCCAGAAGCCAGCAGCATGGAGGCTCTATAGACATAGATTCCATTACAGTAATCAATTAGTTTAGCTGACATCATAGAATCAAAGAATGGTTTGGGTTGGAAGAGACCTTAAAGATCATCTAGTCCCATCCCCTGCCATGGGCAGGGACACCTTCCACCAGACCAGGTTGCTCCAAGCCCCATCCAACCTTCCCTTGCCCCAGGGATGGGGCAGCCCACAGCTTCTCTGGGCAACCTGGGCCAGTGTCTCACCACCCTCACAGTGAAGAATTTATTTATAATATCTCCTCTAAGTGTCCCCTCTTACAGCTTAAAAATCATTCCCCCTCATCCCATCACTCCCTGCCCTTGTCCAAAGCCCCTCTCCAGCTTTTCTGGAGCCCCTTCAGGCAGTGGAAGGTGCTCCAAGCTCTCCATTCTCCCCTCCAGGCTGAACACCCCAACTCTCCGAGCCTGTCTCCAGAGCAGAGCTGCTCCAGCCCTCCCATCAGGTCCGTGGCCTCCTCTGGACAAGCTCCAACAGCTCTGTGTCCTTGTTGTGCTGGGGACGTCAGAACAGGACTCCAAGTGAGGTCTCACCAGAGTGGAGCAGAGCAGAAGAATCCCTAAGGGAGATGGGATCCCTTTCCATTCAGAATTGCAGCAGTGGTTGATACGGCTGCTCTACATAGTACACAAGTGCCCTTTCAAGGCAGCAGCATGTGTCTCCAAATCTGCAGGTGCCCTTAAGTCACCTCCTCCTGCACCCACCAGCGTTTTGAGCCTTGGGGAAAAGTCACACCCCTACCAACAGCTGCCACTTGACTGTTTTCCCCACTCTGCTTGCTAATGGTCCAGGTCTTCCTCCCTGCTCTGTGAATGCCACGTGGCTCATTGGACAGATACCTTCTCCCTTGGAATCTTCTTCCCACAGCCCTCACAAGTCAGTGGAAATTCAGGGCAGACTTCGTCATGAGCCTGTAAAAGAATTGACAGGAGAATATTACTCCTCTAAATAAAAGCTCTAATGTGGTCACATGATGAGTACAACTCCAGAGGGGCAGTTTTACACTCGATTGCAGAAAAGCACTGTATCTACCAACCTGTGCTCAAATCCTGGTCACGCTGATGATTCTACAGGCTACCAGAATTTAAGGTGCCTGTGTAGCCTCAGCATCAATTTAAAAGCTGCTATAATGTGTTTTTTTTAATCAAATTGCTGTTTTGATGCATGAGATAACCAACAGGAAGCTCCATTTATGACTCTGCCAGGAAAATACACGTTCTGGCAGGTTGGGTAAAGTTGGCCACTACCTCAGCAAGGTCATTTGTGAAATCTTTCCAGTGTACTGGTTACTAGTCAGCTGAAGCATGAACCCATAGCCTGCTCATCACAGGCTGGGCTGAGCTGTCTGATCATATCCTTGCACTGGAATCAGAAAACCATTTTTCAACATGAGAAATATTTAAAAACTGATTTATTTAACAGCCCCTGCACACAAGCACCCACTTCTACAGCAAGAGCATAGTGTTGGCAGCTTGAGGAGCTCAGGGCAATGTGATACTCTGTGCTCAGAGGATACTAGTGATAAGAGTGCTACCAGCTAAATTGGGAATGCTACAACATACCTTTGCTTTCTGTGTCATTTCCAAACTGCTTAAGCCTTGTCTTTATACACCAACCAGGTGAAACTGGCATTGTAAATGCCATGAATATGCAGTTCAAAATGCAGATTAAAAGTGCACTGAAGTATTCTGCCATGGTAGTAACAAGAAAAAAAACATAGACAACAAACAGCAGCATTTAGAAAAGAGTCAGCTGAAACCAGATGCTCTGAAAACTTGGTCACATTTATTCTTTATTAAAACAAGCTACTGTCTTGGTGTGGTGGGGAAACATGCACAAGCTTAAAAGTATTACCACATCAGAAACTGGAAAGTGAAACCCATTAGTGGCTCAGCTTTGGCTTCCTGGTTACTCTCTCCTCTTTATACTTCCCAGGAGTGATCAGGCTGAGCCTCCCGGGCTGTCCCTGAACAGGGACCTGCCAGCCTGTGGGGCTGGGCTGGGCAGCCCTGCCTGCACAGGCAGAGGAGGCGGCAGAGTGTCTGCCTTCATCCCACTTGCTCAGAGGGGCTGAACCTGTTTTTCCACCCACCGACTGCTCTCATGTTCTACAAACACCAGATAGCATCTTCCCTACGACCCACAGAATGCTGGCACAAGAACAGATGGTCTGGCTGAAGGAAGGAAACTTCACTGTAGAGAATGGTTTGGGTTGGAAGAGACCTTAAAGATCATCCAGTCCCATCCCCTGCCATGGGCAGGGACACCTCCCACCAGACCAGGTTGCTCCAAGCCCCATCCAACCTGCCCTTGCCCCAGGGATGGGGCAGCCACAGCTTCTCTGGGAGGGACACCTTCCACCAGACCAGGTTGCTCCAAGCCCCATCCAACCTGCCCTTGCCCCAGGGATGGGGCAGCCACAGCTTCTCTGGGAGGGACACCTTCCACCAGACCAGGTTGCTCCAAGCCCCATCCAACCTGCCCTTGCCCCAGGGATGGGGCAGCCACAGCTTCTCTGGGAGGGACACCTTCCACCAGACCAGGTTGCTCCAAGCCCCATCCAACCTGCCCTTGCCCCAGGGATGGGGCAGCCACAGCTTCTCTGGGAGTATTTAAAACTTCTGCCCGTGTGCCAACGTGTGTGAAACTACCACCCCCTCAACATCCCCACCCTCCTGGCATTTCTCTTCTCTCCATTTCTCTTCCCTCTGGCTCCAGGGGATGTGACAACCTAGCCCTGCCAAGCGTGCCCAGCTTGCAGTGCAAGGAGGGAAAACAGCCCTGAGTAGCTCAGAGTGCAGCTAGTTCCTATGGAAATCGTTTGAGACTCCCAGAAGCATTAGATTTAACCAGCACAGATCCAAACCTCCAGACAAATATTCTTACATAAACAATTTCTGGCTCTTCTGGAATCCCCTGTTCCTTCCCCCTCCAAGGACACGGATGGAATTGCTGCTGGCAGGAATCTACCCCACGCCAGGAGCCAAGGTTGGCATTCAAACCTGACCTGCCACACTTCACAGGAATGGGGCAAGCCTCCTGTTTACACCTTCCCCAACCCACATCCAGGAGCTTCTGCAGCAGGGACCAGCATGGCTGACACTCAGGCAGTCACTGTGAACGTTCTGGGCAGCTCTGGAAAGCTGCTGGGAATGGGGGCCTGATGAGGGCAGAGCTGCTCTTCCACAGCAACCCAGGCATGGAAATCAAGTCCAAATGGGGTCAGAAAGACCGTGGCAAGAGAATTGAAGCAGAGCCTGAAGCCAATGGTCTGGCTCAGACCTTCAGCACTGACTTCTCCCCACCAGCTGTAAATTGAGGCACAGAGCAACCTGCAGCATCCACCAGCAGGGGTGGGAGAACAAGAGCAGGCAGAGGAGCAGCCAGCACAGCAACACCTTGCTCTTCCCCAGCCCATCAGGACGAAAACAACAGATTGACTCCCACATCCACTTGGCTCCCTAAAAATAAACAGCGAGACAAGCAGCAAAGCCCAGGCATCATGCACTGCCACCAGAAAACACCATATACTGATATGGATAAGGGGTTGACCTGCTAAAAAGCAGCCTCATGGAGAAGGACCTTGGGGTCCTGGTGGACAAGTTATCCATGGGACAGGAATGTGCCCTTCTGGCCAAGAGAGCCAATAGCATCTTGGGATGTATTAAGAACAGTGTGGCCAGCAGGTCAAGGGAGGTTCTTCTTCCTTCTACTCTGCCCTTGTAAAACCGTATCTGGAGTGTTGTGTCCAGTTCTGGTCTCTCCAGATCAAGAGGGGCAGGAATTTACTGGAGAGAATCCAACAGAGGCTACGAGGACAATGAAGGGACTGGAACGCCCGCCTGATGAGGAGAGGCTGAGACACCTGGGACTTTTCAGTCTAGAGGAGAAGACTGAGGGGGGACCTGATGAATGTCTATAAATATCTGCAGGGTGGGTGTAATGAATGGGCCAGCCTCTGTTCAGTGGTGCCTGTGATAGGACAAGGGGAAATGGCATCAAGTGACAACACAGGAAGTTCCACCTCAACATGAGAAAAAACTTCTTTCCTGTGAGGGTGACAGAGCCCTGGGACAGGCTGCCCAGAGAGGTTGTGGAGTCTCCTTCTCTGGAGACCTTCAAGACACGTCTGGATGTGTTCCTGTGTGACCTGCCCTGGGTGTTCCTGCTGCAGCAGGGGGTGTGGACCTAACGATCTTCAGAGGGCCATTCCAACCCGTATGATTCTATGATCCTCTAGGAGTCCACCTGAGAGACCAGAAAATCAGGCACCATCACAGCCTTCAGAAGGACCAGGGCAGCCTTTGAGCACTGGTGGGTGGCCACTGTGGCCACACAGCCCCCCAGCACCCACCCATGCTCCCCTCGGGAGCTGGAGAGCAGAGCTGATTCTGCACAGACTGTAATGCCCCAACCTCAACACCGGGAAAGCAGAGAAGGGATTTGCAGTATTTCATACTGAGGTTTCTCTAGGGGAATCCCCGGGATCATCCCCCTGCAAGGCCAGCACTCAACCAGCAGAAACTGGCAGTTCACTTCACAGCAGCTCTGTGGCACTAAAGGCAGCACACATCGATGCAGCCAGGCAGGAAAGCACAGGCACACACTGGGAAAAACGTGGGATTTAGTAACAGCAACTGATCCCTGGAAGACACAATGGTCATTTCCCAAGGAATACCAGGATATGCTGCTCTGCTGCACCTACGTGAACAAGACAACAGGGGAAACTGCAGCTTAATCTGATTGCTGTTTGGCCTCTCCAGGCTTTGCTAAACTCAACTTGAACTATGGACTTGAACTATGGAGGAGGCAATTGCTGAAAATCATCACCCCTGTATGGTGGTGGCAGAGGAGCTGCACCTGCTCCCCAGCTGCCCCACCACAACTTACCACACCAGTCCAAGCCCATTTTTTATGGAGAAGTTAAAATTGCATTAGGAAATCCATCGCTGTGACATGACACCCCCATGCAGCTCAGAGACATGGCAGGTGGCTGAGAAAGCCACCTTTGGAACAGCTGCTGACAGATGCCTCTGCCAGAACCTGCAGGAACATGGTGGCAAAGGGCAGCGTTGGCCAAGCCAAGGTGCAGCAGGACAGGCTTGGTGTGGGCTGCTCACCACAGCTCCTCTGCAAACAGCATCCTGCAGGTCAATCTTCCAATGTTGTTGGTCCCCTCTGCCATTCTCACCATGGCACTAACCACGTTCCCAGCACTGATCTGATTCACCTCCCACAGTCACTGCTGAGCCGCCATGAGCTGTGGACGCACTGCAGCGCTGGGGTCTAACCATGCTGAAGGCTCTGCCTGTGCTGAGCAGGTCCTAGGGCAACACCCTGGAGACATCTCCCTCCTTCCAGCAGTGCTTTCATCAGCTCAGAGCTTCACCTCAGTTGCTCAGATCCAAAGGGACAGCCTGAGGCTGAAGGTGTGCCTGACCTTCACGTTAGAAAGGGTGGTGGTGGGGCTAGCCAAGCTCTGCCAGCTGCTGATGGTGGGAAGGGGCACCTCCTGTGCCTTGCAGGCAGTGTGGAGGTGCAGGTTGTGAGCAGAAGGGCTCAGCATGAGGCTGAGACCACCCCTGGCACCCAGGAAAGCAGAGATGAAATAAATCCGTCAGCTGGGACAAGCATCCTTCACATGCTGGATAAGCTGAGCCTGTGTTGAGCCACTTGATTTCACACTTGGTTTCTCTAGGCCGTCTGAGGAGCTGCAAGTGCCCCAGAGCATGTGTGATTGTGGCTCTGACAAGACACCTGGAGCCCAAGGAACATGTCCCTGGGGGTGAAGTGCTGCCCCACAACCCCCACAGCTGTATTCACAACGGGGGGTTTCATCAGGCCTTAGAAAGGACACGCAGCACTCACCTCAGCTTCAAACCTCCTGACTTACAGCTTTTTGTTTTCCAAG